ATAAAAATGATAAATAGTAATATCATTATGCTTTAATATAAAATAACATAGAACTGTCCATGTACACTCTAAATTTTGGTCCTCTTGTGCTCATTATTACCTTCCCAGTTAAATATATGTGGGGTTTTTTTTGGCAGTACTGGGATTTGCACTCAGGACCTTGAATTTGCTAGGCAGCTGCTCTACCATTTGAGCCATGCACCTACATACATCTTATGCTGTACTACTTTTAGTGATTTTCTGTACTATTATTTTTACTTTTATTTATTTATTTATTGGTGGTACTAGGATTTTAGCTCAGGGCCTCACACTTGCTAGGCAGGTGCTCTACCACCTGAGCCCTACACTATTAATTTTTAGACTCAACATATTTTTAAAAACTAATATGAGTGAAAATCTCAATATATCTTAGCATCACTTAGAAAAGCAGCTTTAATAAACTGAGTTCCAAGCTCATAAGTAATCAACACTGAATTTTTTCATCCATTAAAAGCAGTAAGTTGGCCACGTAGGAAGCAGTAACTGCTTTTTTTAAATTATTTTTGTTTTTAAAATGGAACAGAGGATCCAATGTGTGCCTCATGCATGCTAGCCAAGGGCTTTACCACTGAGCTAAGCCCCCAGCTCCCATGTTTCCTTTGATTGCATTATTCAGAAAATAATATTGAAAAACATTAAAACTTTTGCCGTTAAAACATCTTGAGATCTGATAATTACAGAGCGAACACTGTATGCTAATGGTGTGAGTTACTACTTCCTTAGGAGATCCTGTCTTGGTTACCTGCTTATGAACACAGTGAGTAATACGGGCAATGAAGTGAGAATACTTGAAGAAGTTACCTGGATCCATAGTTTTCAGTGTTGTGCTCTCAAGTTCTGCAGAGCAGTGTGCAGAAAGGACTGTGGGAGACTTTAACCAAACAGCTTGACTTAGCCCTTGACATCTGAGCTTATCCCTCAAATGTTGAGCTTTTCGGTGAAACAAGTTATCCCAAGGTTTTTTGGTTTGTGTGTGTGTGTGTGTGTGTGTGTGTGTGTGTGTGTGTGTGTGTGTGTGTGTGTGTGGTACTGGGATTTGAACTCGAGGTCTACACCTGGAGCCACTCTACCAGTCCTTTTTAGTGATGGGTTTTTTTGTTTTTTGTTTTTTTTTTTGAGATAGGGTCTCGCCAACTATTTGCCCAGACTGGCTTTGAAATTTGATCCTCCTGATCTCTGCCTTCTGAGTAGCTTGGATTACAGGCATGAGCCGCTGGCGCCTGGCTTTGAGTTTCTTTCTTTTTTTTTTTCTTGGTCTTTTTTTGGCTTCGAGTTTCTTGAGTGAAGGCAATCTTTTGAATGGCTGATCTGATCCATGCTGTTTCTTGCAGATGCTAGGAAGGCATTATTACAACACTTCATTCCATCAATCTGACACTCTTGAGGACTACAGAGTATTAAAGGGCATTCAGGAGCTGATAAGCAGCATTTCTGCAAAAACAAACTTCGGTCTAACCAACTCCCATTATTTTTCTTATGTTTAAAAAACAATCCGTGTGGCCGGGCACCAGTGGCTCACACCTGTAATCCTAGCTACTCAGGAGGCAGAGATCAGGAGGATCATGGTTTGAAGCCAGCCCGGGCAAATAGTTCACAAGACCCTCTCTTGACAAAATCCGTCACAAAAAAGTGCTGGTGGAGTAGCTCAAGGTGTGGGCTCTGAGTTCAGGCCCCAGTACCCCCCCCACACACAAATCCTTGGCATTAAATAAAGCTTTTTTTTTCCTTTTCTTTTTTTGTGGTACAGGAGCTTGAACTTGGGGCCTTCACCTTGAGCCACTCCACCAGCTCAATATTTTGTGATAGGGTTTTTTGAGATAGGCTCTCACAAACTATTTAGAAGCAATTACAAGAAAGCACTGTTTCTGAAAAGTGGCCCTGTGCTCAGGGGGCTCCGTGGGTGTTCATGCAGAAGACAATATATAGGAAAGAGAACATTTAGATCACGGACTAAAGTGCATTAGAATGTACTCTTTCTAGGAATAAAGCTCAAACCAGTCACCTTTCCTATTGGCCCTAACACTAAAAATCAAGTAATTTTATAATTTTGACAAGTATTACTATTACTCTGGTAAGACTAGAGAATGGCAAGTGGTATCTCTCTCACTAGAATGAACTTTAATTGTTAAGAGCGCTGATTTAGGAATGCTGTGTTGGGAAAACAATGAACCTGAAACACACCAGTCAGTCTTGGAAAAACTGGCAATTTGCCATCAAGGAAACTTTGGAAAAGTTTCAGAATTACATATTCTAAAACAAAGGTATTGTTCATCTAGTTACGATTTTTTTTTTTTACAGTACAGGGTTTGAACTCAGGGCCTTGTTCTTGCCAGGCAGGCACTCTACTGCTTGAGCCCACCCGCCAGCCCAATTTATGAAAAACTTTTAAAAGAAATTAAGCCTTGTAGCACACAAATTGGTATCAAAGACAATCATTAATTAAATAGTAAGAGAAAATAGTAACCTCAAAAATACAATATTGGTATATACCTGTAATTCCAGCATTTGGGAAACTGAGACAGGAATATTATGAGTTCAAGGACAGGTGGGTGCTGGTTGCTTGCGCCTGTAATCCTAGCTATTCAGGAGGATCGTGGTTCAAAGCCAGTACAGGCAAATAGTTCACAAGATCCTATCTTGAAAAAAACCCATCACCAAAAGGGCTGGCAAAGTGGCTCAAGATTCAGGCCCTGAGTTCAAGCCCTAGTACTGCAAAAAAAATAAAATGAGTTCAAGGCCAGTGTGGGCTACATAGTGAGACTGTGTCTCAAAAAGAAAAAAAGAAAGTATGTTGAGGTATGTCATAGTATTTAAAAATTCTGTTTAATACAAGAAGCCTTCAAATCATAAGGAAACTGTGTCAGGCTTCTCTGTGCTGATTCACAAAGATGTTTACAAGGAGGTTCAGTTCTTCTGGTATTTAGATTTTTCTCTCTCTCTCTCTCTTTGCAGTGCTGGGCGTTGAACCCAGGGCCTCACACAAGCTAGGCAAACACTCTACCACTGAGCTAATCTCCCAAGCTTGATATTTAGATTTTATCTTTAAGAATAAAATAATGCTTTTCCAATTTAGCTATAATTTTTAGAATTTTCTTAATTCATACAGGGGAGGAGTTTAAACTTAACTTTGTATCCTAGGAGAAAAGTTTGTTTTGAAAAATATAAACAAGTGAAGCAAAAATCCTGAAGGCATTTAAGAGAAAAATTTTTTCAAATGATTAGGTATTTTACATTTACATATAAATAACTAACATTTATGAATTTGTCAATAGATACTATAATAACTTGAAGATAGGTGTTTTTGAAGATGACTCAATTCTTCTTTCATCCTTTGTCTTATTTTTATAATTACTGCAGAGTGGTGAGCTTTGATTTCAATTCTTTGCCATTTTAAAAAACACATGGAGAGACAGAAGAGAAAGGAGTGTTGAAAAACACAACCTGTCCAACCATCAGTTCTAAACTTTCTGATCTTAATTTCTTCCTTTGTAAATCAGAGGTAATCTCTATCTCTAGCTCACTGATTAGGTGAGAAAATAAGGGAGCAAGCACTTTGTCATGTAATAATAATAATATAGTATTACATAAATGTTAAAACAATTCTAAGAATTGGTAAGAACCTCCTAGTTTGATTTTTTTGTTTTTTTCTTTAGAGAGGAAGAGAACTGTATTGACAGATCTTCATAAACTACCTTGGCTTTTAGACAATACATGTATCCTGTCTTTTGGGTTTTTTGTGGTTTTTTTGGCAGTACAGGCGTTTGAATTCAGGGCCTAATGATTGCTAGGCAGGCGCTCTACCACCTGAGCCACTCCACCAGCCTCATGTATCACACTTTTAAAAAAAAGATGTCTCAGGCTGGTGGTAGAGCGCCTGCCTAGGTCTGAATTCAAATGCAATACTGCCAAAAAAAAAAAAAAAAAAAAGAGAGAGAACAACCTAAAAAAATGATGTCTGGGAGCCAGGTGTGGTGGTGCATGCCTATAATCACAGGACTCGGGAAGCTAAGGCAAGAAAATCTTGGGTTTAGGTGATCTTTGGCTACACAGATTCTGTGCTAAAAGAAAAAGAAAAAACAAGGGCTGGGTATGGTGGGCTCACACCTGTAATACCAGCTACTCAGGAGGTGGGAGCTGGCAATCAAGAGGATTGCAGTTAGAGACCAGCCTAGGCAAAAGATAACAAGATCCTATCTAAAAACGAGTTGGTGTGTTAATGCACAGCTGTAGCCCCAGCTATGCAAGAGGCTAAGGTAGAAGGATTATGATCTGAGGCTGGTCCCAGGCAAAAAGTGTGAGACCCTATCTGAAAAATAACTTAAACAAAAAGTTTAGGGGTATGGCTCAAATGGTAGAGCACCTGCCTAGCAAGGGCAAGGCCCTAAGTTCAAACTCTAGTACTGCCAAACTAAACAAAACTAAAATATGGTCCTATATATAATCTTTGGTCAGTCTCTAGTTTTGTTTTGTTTTTGTGGGACTGGGATTTGAACTCAGGGCTTCATGCTTGCAAAGCAGGTGCTCTACCTCTAGAGCCACACCTCCAGTCTATTTTGTTCTGGTTATTTTGGAGATGGGGGTCTCTTGAACTGTTTGCCTGGGTCGGCATCGACTCTCAGTCCTCCCAATCTCAGCCTCACAAGTAGCTAGGATTACAGGGATGAGCCACCATGCCCAGCAGGTTTTTTGTTTGTTTTAACATACTGCTCATAAGTGTAATTTTTAATTTAATTACAAAAATTTCAAGTACACATGATTTCAAACATTTAGTCCTCAGCCATAATCCTAAACCACTTAGGACAGCAGGATAATGATGGGTTGTTTCAGATCTGAAACTAATAGAAAGACTTATTAGGTCAGGTAGGTGGGTTACCTTAAATGTTCTCTTACCTGGTTCTCTATGGAGTTCAATATTGTTAATGTATGTGTCCTTGAAACACCTTAATATTGTCTTACATAAAGTTTGGTTGTGATAAATTTATTTAAAATATTTTCTTTGAAAAAAGTTTGCTAAATAGATTTTTCAATATTAAAAAAAAAAGGTATCTCTGCAATAACGTAAGAGGATACTTGTTCATCCATCATGCCAAGTCAAGCTAGGTCTTTCTTTCCAGTGCAGCAGCAAAGTTCTGAATGGATACAATGGCCTGTTCAGAAGCATGCAAGTTATATCAGGTCATTTCTTGTAAGTCAGTATGATAAATATGTTAACCAGACTCTGACCATGGAAAGAGAGCACATAGGAAGTCAGTGTAAATTGCAGACATGCCAGCAATGTTGGTTCACATCACAGCTACCTAACGTTGGGTTTTATTTCCTTTTCTTCTTCCTCTTCACTGTCGTCAACCTGCTGTATGACCAGATCAGCAGACCCATCCTCTACAATCTCCACATAGGATCTATTCTCATCTTCATTCAAGTGCCACCGGGAATCCTTATCTCCTTCTGATGAGGACATAAGATGTTGCTCGGCTTCCAAATCAATGGGGAGGCTGTCTATGCCAACTTCAGCAAGACACTCATTACACAGTCTGTAGCGCCTGGTGCCTTCCTGTACCACTTGCCCTGTTAGGTCAGTCACATGGCGTTTGCATTTTCTGCAGATTAGTTTGCATGCCTGGTGAATCTGTGTAGAGAATTTAAATAATGATAAAAAAAGGATTTTTCAAAAGCAGGTCAGGTTGATATTTTAGGTTGTCAGTTCATATGATTAAGATGCTCTAGACCATGCATGGAACACAAATTAACATCTGATTATTAGAAAAGATCGTAAGTCTTGGTGATGAATTGATGTTACAGAAATATTAGATATCAGCCTTCTCTACATAATAGCTATAATAATTTTATTATTAGTATTACATACTTAATAACGTCACATATCCATTAGTCTAGTAGCATCAAGGGACACCTTCTCAGGATAATAACAATTGCAAATACTACTGTGCATACATTGAAGACTTTACATATTTTAATTTGGATAGAAAAAAAACCTTCCTTGTTTCATACGAGTATTAATTTTTTTATTTTGCTAAAGAAAGAAAACAGTGTCCCAAATAGAAATTCATCATTACTTTTGCACAGAAGAATTAGTGTCTATTTTTATTAGTAAAAGATTGAAGAGAGGGAGCACCACATCATGAATTAGAAAGCTTGGCTGCTAGTCCTGTTTTTGTCATTAACTTTGTCATTCAGTAACCATACATCTCAGGTAAATAATTTTAAACATCATAACCTTGCTTTCAAAGTGACGGTCAGAATATTTAATGGGTTTGATATGGGCGCCATCCAGGCAGGTGGGCAACCTAACTAGTCTGAAAGGACACTGTTCATAAATAAGCAGCACAGTGGTTCTCTCACATCAGCCTATTATCATCTCTGCCTACTTCCTTAACACAAATGGGGCTACTATTCACAAGGCTGAAAGTGAGGGCCAAGTGAGTTCACAGATGTGGAATACTTTGGTTAAAAAAGTTGCAAGCAATGAATATATCATAATTACAGTTAGTAATAAAAAGCTTTCTTCAATAGTTGTTAAAGTTGTAGATTATGGGCTCTAATTAAAAAAAGATGAGAATTAATTATATAATGTTGGATTATGTTCATGGAATATTCATTTAAATAAAGTCAGGACAGTATAGAAATAGGTCACTAAACATAGTTAAAAAAAAATCCAGGAGAGCTTATATAGTCTGGTAAAATTCCTAAGAAAATATATGGAACACTGTTTAGTAAAGTTACTATCTTCTGCTTAATCAGCAAATATTGAAAGTATACAATTTGAGTAAATCCTTATTTCTCTTGAGATCATAAGATTATGGGTGTCACATGTAACACATGTTTTGTTACAAAGTTTTGACACAGACTCCTGTTCATCCTTCATATTCCAATATAATTATGAAGTCAAAGAAATTAAGTGACACACTATAACATCAAAATTGAAAATGTCAACAGGAACTCATTATTTAAAAACATACATATGCAGGCTCTTGCCTATAATGTTAGCTACTTGGGAGACTAAGATAAAGAGGATTGCAGTTTGATGCCAGGCTGAGTAGTTTGTGAGATCCTCTTTCTAAAATAATCAGAGCAAAATGGACCAGAGGTTTGGCACAAGTGTCAGAGCATCTGCTTTGCAAATGTGAAGCTCTGAGTTCAAACCCCAGTCCCACTAAAAATAAACCCCAAAACAAACAAAATCATCTCTTTTATCTCTTTCTACTAATATATAAAAAAAATGACACCTTACAACAATAAGTGCCCAAATTTTGGCCTCTAATTTTATTCCTCACTAAAAGAAACCATGGCTCCTTTGAGAAGTAGCTGATTCCAGCTTTGTGATATAGAAAGTTCTAAGTTTCTTTTGTGGTCAGAGAATAAGGACACTTCCAAAATGTAATGTATTGTCACAAAAGACACGGGTGCCATTTCAAGGTAGAGATTGTTCACTGGCTAAAACTGTGAAAATGTGAATGTTGAAAAGAATAATAAAACCCATATGTAGTGGTATACACCTATAACTCCAGGACTCAAGAGGCTGAGGCAGGAAGATTTCAAGTTCTAAGCTAGTCCGAGCTAAATAATAATAAAAAAAGGAAATTTCTGACATACTGTGATATCTAAAATAATAAAACCAGAAAAAGCTCAGATGGTATCATTTGTGGCTGCTATCTACTCTTTACTTTGAGAATTGGTTATTAAAATTATTTATTTATTTATTTTGCTTCTCCTGAAGGAACTGTATTTCAGAGTAACCAAAAAGTCCCAGATGATAAAGGAAGGCTGCTTTACTTTGTAGATTGCTAACTAACAATGTAGGAGGAATGATAAACAATTAGTAAATCATTCCACAACTCCAAGTAAAATTATTAATTTGGACAGAGATTATCAATTGGTTTCATGAAATGAATGGTTGACAGGGAAATGGATTGTGGTGATGCCAAAGTGGTTTCACACATTGCTTTTTATTACAAGGCAATACTCTCAGGTGCACAGTGGTGGAATCAGAGGATCATCATCCCATCAGAGAGACTGAGGGCTGGTGGCATGGCGCATGTGATAGAGCACTTGCCTAGCAAGTGAGACCATGAGCTCAAATCCTACTAATGCTGCAAAACCAAAAACAAAACACTGAGAGAAAGACTTATTTTTTGGGGGGTGGTACTGAGGATTGAACCCAGGCTCTCACACTAGCTAGGCAAATGCTCTACTATCTGAGCTACACCCTCAGCACCACCACCACCCCCCTTTTTTGGACAGTACTGGGGTTTGAACTCATGGCCTCACACTTGCCAGGCAGATGCTCAAGATAGGGTCTCAAGAACTATTTGCCTGGCCTGGCTTGGAACCACAATCCTCTTGATCTCTGCCTCCTGAGTAGCTAGGATTATAGGTATGAGCCACTGGCACCGGGTTTAATTTACTTATTTTTTGAGATACAGTCTCGTATCTTCCTGGGCTAGCCTCGAACTTGTGATCTTCCTGTTTCTACCTCCTGAGAAGCTAGGATTACAGACATGCACCATCATACCCAACTGAAAGACCCATTTTAACATCATGAGTCCACCAGGCCTGTGCCTCTCCTAATGACACAATCTGAAATATACAACTTTGCTCTTGATGTTTCTAGCCAAATCCATTAGGATTTTATATAAAACTTCTAGTTTATAGAAAATATGGAGGAGGAATAAAGGAACAAACTCAATGATACCATGTGGAAGCAAGCAGACAATTTCAGAGATAGGATATTTTGTAAGATAATTGGCTCACTATCTTCAATAATCCAGGGTTATGGGGCAGGAAGGTGTGTGTAGGGGAGAAATTGTGTTTGAGTAAAAATATGCTTAAGGGATTTAATGGTGAGATAGCATATATGGTCCTGGATTAGATTCTAGCTTGGACAAATCAGCCGTGCAAGGTATTTGTAGTGACTATGAGGAAATATTGAAATTGAACTGGTTGTAGATCAAAGTTATTGAGGTAGAAAGGTAGAGCTTATTCACTAAAAACAGGGAGTTACAAAATAGCATGTATAGTATAATCTCATTTTTGTATAAAATACATACATATATATATATATACATAGGAGAAAATTTGGAAGAATATATATATATATATAATAGGATTGTTAAGAATAGTAACATCTAAATGGTAAAAATATAGTATTTTCACTTCTATTTTCTTATATTTTACAACATATATTTATTGCTTTTTTACTTACAAAAGTTGGGTTTTTTCCCTCATTTTTGCTGTGCTGGGGATGGAATCAAAGGCCTTGCCCATGCTAGGCAAGTGTTCTACTACTGAGCTACATCCCCAAGGTCTGTTTTTAGATAGTCTTGCTATGTAGCTCAGGCAAGCCTTGGACTCACTATGTAGGCCACGCTGAGCTGATACTTGCAATCTTCTTGCTTTTTTCTCCTAAATGCTGAGGTTACAGGTGTGGACTTAAAAGGTTATTTTTAATTTTAAAAAATGTAGCTTCATGGTGTAGGGATGAGGCTGAAGTGGTAGAGTGCTTGCTGAGCATGCTTAAGGCCCTGCATTTAGTCCCCAGCACTGCAAACAAACAAATAAAATGCTACACAAGTAAGGGGTGAGGATAGGTAAGACACCTAAAAAACTAGCATTTGTTGCCCTTAACGCAGAGAAACTAAAGCAGATACCTTAAAGCAACTGAGGCCAATAGGAAAAGGGGACCAGGAACTAGAGAAAAGGTTAGATCAAAAAGAATTAACCTAGAAGGTAACACCCACGCACAGGAAATCAATGTGAGTCAATGCCCTGTATAGCTATCCTTATCTCAACCAGCAAAACCCCTTGTTCCTTCCTATTATTGCTTATACTCTCTCTACAACAAAATTAGAGATAAGGGCAAAATAGTTTCTGCTGGGTATTGAGGGGGGGGAGAGGGAGGGGGCGGAGTGGGTGGTAAGGGAGGGGGTGGGGGCAGGGGGGAGAAATGAACCAAGCCTTGTATGCACATATGAATAATAAAAAAAATGAAAAAAAAATAAATAAATAAAAAGAACACGTGATAAAAAAACAAACAAAAAAAAACCAAATAAAATGCTAGCTTCAGGAGGCTAATGAAGGCAGAGATTTTGCTACTGCTGTCCACCTCACACTTAGTAAAGCATCTGGCACACAGAAGGTACTCCATATATACTTGTTGAATAAAAGACTATTAATGCAATGCATGAAGAAATCACCTTAAAGTGAGTAGTCTTTTAAAGTTATAAAGAACCCTTATAAATGGAATAGAAGTATAGGTGAGAAAACACAGTTTTCAGAAAAAAAAATTTTGTTGCAAGATGAACAGAACAATTATAGTGTCATTATCTTATTAAACCATCAAGGCATTGAAAAGCAAATCCCCTAAAGTTTTCTGCCACCTGACAATGAACCCCTGATTGGCAGCAGCTCTGTTTCCTTCCCTCCTTCCTCCCTCCCTCCCTCTGTCCTTTCCTCCCTCCTTTCCTTGACTACAGAGACTAGAAAGGGGTGTAGCAAAGAGAGGTCAGAAAGCAGCTACACTGAGATCTACCAGGCCAACATTCAATAACCACTGGGAGATGCTGGGAGTCCAAACTGGTGATTCTGACCTAGACACTTAAAACATTTACAATTTGCATTATCTTTGGCTCTGGACAGACCAAAATATAAAAACAAATTAAATATGATATAAATTAAAAAGGAAATATAAAACTATTTAGCACCAAAGAGTATCTAACTCAAGGTCTCGAAGGAGAATAACTAACTATATATGTTTATGTATACATCTATATATGTTTATGTGCATATATATATATGTATATAAAGTTATGCATTATGTGCAAAATAGAAACATTAACTTTGAAGGATTTTTAATATGGTAGAGTTGTGTGAAGAAATTTCCCTCTGTAAATTAGATTACCCTAAAGCAGATAAATGCACATATTTCTCAAGAAGTAAAACGATGGAAAATCATATACATACTGTTCGGAAATGGCTACTTAGATGGTCTAGCCTGCTAAATCTTTTTCCGCAAGCTTGGCATGGGTAGGGCCTTTCTCCTGTATGACAGCGCAGGTGGCGCTTGAGGTCTGCTTTCCGCTTCACCACATGGGTACAGTATGGGCACTTGAATCGCATCCTGGGCAGATCATCTGTCATGAGACAGTTTGATTAAATCACTGGAGAGCTAATAATAACATTCTATTAACACAAAGAATCCGAAAGGAGTTGATGCATCCAATCTTGGAAAGGTTAAAAAAAAGGAGAAAAAATTTTTATTGAGACAAGATTGTCAATGTAACCTCATATACAGAACTATAACTTCAGTATTTTATGTATTATAAAATCTGGGTAAATTTAGACTGACGCTCATCTTTTTGTTTAACATAGTAGAGAAAAGCCATTGGATTTTTTTTTCAATAGTAAAGGTAAATTTGAAGAGCCATTAGATATTTTTGGTGGTACTAGGGCTTGAACTCAGGGCCTTGTGCTTGCTAGGGAGGCACTCTACCACTTGAGCCACTCCACTTCACCAGTCTTACCATTAGATTTTAAATGTCAAAAAGTCATACTAGATTTTAAAACTATAAATACAATCCAAAAGTAAAAGGACTTAATATTTTATCAACTTTATTTACACATTTATCCCTTTGCTTTTACTTTTCATATACTTGTATGATATAGATTTCTAATCTCTCTACTCTAATTCAGCATTATGTGGGTGAGTAGAGGATTATTTTCAAACTATCAACATAATAGTCTTTTTTATATTTTATTACTATCATAAAAATAAGACATCTCACCAGGTGTGATGGTTTACATCTGTAATCCCAGCTACTTGGGAGGTAGAGACAAGAGGATCAAGTTTGAGGCCAAAGTCAGAAAGACTTTATTTCAAAAACAAAATAAAAATGAAAATTCTGAAAGCATAGCTCAAAAGGTAGAGCATTTGCCTAGCAAGCACAAGGCCCTGAGTTCACTCCCCAGTACAGTTAAAAAAAAAATGTTTTTTCACATTTTCCCATAACACCTAAAATTAAGAGTATGTTGAGACAGGATTGATTTATACAGGTGTTTGAAACCTGGTTGAGGGGAATGTATGCTCTTTTTGGGTACCTGGAAAACTCCTGGATGTGGCCTCAGATCCTTGACTGTACTGATAGCCAATAGGAGCAGAGTCCACTTCAGCATCAGCTTGAGCTTGTTCTTCAGATTGGGAAACATGGCTGGAAGAATCGGATGTCCGTGCTTCTCTTTTGTTTGACTTATAATGAGCAGCTTCAGACGGCTGTGACAATCTCAAATGTTTGGTCTTTTTCATGGAATCTTTCCTTTGTTCAAACTTGGCCAGAGGTTGTTGAGTGTTCCTTTGGGAGGCTGGATGGTAATTATACTTACTCCACGACTTTCCAGTTATTATACCTGCTCCTGGGTCTGGGCTGAGGTGAGAATGTGGAGAACTGCTTTCTTCCTGCCAGCTGCCACTATAAAAAGAGGAACGTTCTATACCGTTAGAATTGGCATCCTTATCTGAGAGACTGAAATAGCGATCTTTTTCTTTCTCACTAATGTCCAAGGAAGATTTAATAAAAGTCTTACATACGCTAATGACATCGGTCATCTGAAGGAAGCTAGCAGCGGACATCACCTCTATGACATTCTGCCCGGTAAGAGAGAGTTTGCCAGAATAGACAAAGTCCAGGATGACGGTGAAAGTGTCAGGGGAGAATGCCTGAAACGTAGCAGTGGCTGGCTGGCTTGTCTCCTTTGAATTCTGAGAAAGAAGCATTTTAAAGTAGCCACTACTAGCAAACAATACATTTCGATGTGCTTTGAAGACTTTTCCTTCAACAAGAATACTGCAGTCACAAAATACATCTTGCCTGCGCTGCTCATTGAGTTGCTGCAGGAGGTGAGACTGATGGGAGGAGATCTCCATTCTGCAGGGGAAAGACACATGGTTACTGAGAAGGATGAGTCAACGAAAATAGTGATCAGAAGCCTCTTTCTTCCTCCATCAAAACCACTCTCCTTCCTGAAGGATATAGTCCCCAAGACACAGAAGATAGCAAATTTTAAGAGATCATTTAACATTATACTGTTTATTACTTAGATTTTTAGAAAAGTGTTTATTTTATCAGCACATGCTGTTGAGGCTTCTGTATGCTAAACAGACTTGATTCTTACCTGCATGTAGTTTTCAACCAGAGGGAGTATCAGGCATTAAACTAATAGTCATATAAGTCCAATGGCACATTAAATGCTAACTTAAGGAGGGTTCTTTAAGCAACATCAAAAGTAAACTAGGTTGTGTGGCTCAAGCAGTAGAGTGCCTACTTGTAAGTGTAAAGCCCCGAGTTCAAACCCCAGTCCCACCAAAAAAAAACAAAAAAGTAGTTTGGATTGGATGGGAGAGGGCTAGGGAACACTTCTCTGGGAAGTAACATTTAAGCTGAGGCCTCAAAGGAGACCAGGAATTAGTTGGCTTAGAATGAGGGGAAAGATTTTAGTTCTATAAAAATGGTCTAGAAAGTGCATACTCTTTCCTGGCACAAATCCCTGAAGATGCTGGCTAAAATATAACCTAAGCTTATTAAATATATGGCTGAGCTTGCAAGAAAGAACAAGAAATTCCTAGATGCCAACAAAGAAGAGGGAGCAGAGCTAGAGCTATAAGCACATGTGTGGACCAGTAATGACATATGGATTCAGTTAGCTTTTTATCAGTAAAATAAAACCCTGATCAATTAGAGGTCAGAGGTTGGAACCCTCCAAAGACTGCAACCTTAGGAAAAAGGGACTAGTAAATTTTGCCCATAAATCTAGGGAAAAGGTAAAGAAAATTTGTCTTTATAAAGCCTTCAGTGGAAAACTTCCTAGATAAGGTATTCAGATCTAAAATTGTGCCTTCCCTTAAATTAATCCCTGAAAAATTAACACAAAAATTAGTCCCTGGCTGGTGGTGCCCCTGGGGTACCTTGCAGAAGCAAATACACTGTGCTCAGGAGGGATGTTCTCAGAACCAAAGCCACTAAGAAATAAGCTCTACATAAGGTGAACTCAGAATCATTCCACTTTTTATGTACATGGACTGTTTCCAACATTGTACAAACATAGTATCTAATATCTCCTCTCTTAAAAACAAATACACAAACACTTCCCCTAATTTCAGATTTACTTCTAGCTACTACATTTCTCTGCTCCCATACACAAAATTCATTAAAAGAGTTATTTTGTTATTTGTGTCTGCCAACTTCACTTTTCCTTCTGTTCTCTCTAGAACCCATTCTATTGCTATATATCAAACTTTTTTTTAAATGTTTTTTCTTAATTTTGCAGCTCTGGGGTTTGAACTCAGGGTCTCATGCTTGCTAGGCAAGCACTCTACCACTTGAACCACTCTACCAGCCCCCACCCCACTTTTTTTTTGGTGGAACTGGAGTTTGAACTCAGGGCTTCAAGTTTGCAAAGCAGGCATTGTACCTCTTGAGCAACTCCAGTCCCAAACTATTCTTAAGCTCATTAGAAACTCACATGTTGTCAAACCCAACTCATTTGTCTTCATTTTACCAACACAGTTGATCACTCTCTTCATTCTAAAACCCATTCTTCACTTGAGTGCCAGGATACCACTTCTTCATGGCATTCCTCTTACGTTATTAGTCATTCCTTTTCAGTCTCCATTTTCCTAATCTGTATGTGTTAGAATGCCCCAGGCCTCAGACATCTTCTCTAAGGAATGATGCAGGTAGAGAAGATCTCTAGGGATCCCATCCAGTCTCATGGTTTAAAATGCCATCTGAATTTGGACATTCAAATTCACATATACAGCTCCTGATTTCCTCTCTGAATCTTAGAGTCATGTATCTGTATACCTGCACCCCCATTTAGATGTTTAGTAGGCATCTTAGCTTAACATGATCAACAACACACTCTTTTTCACCCCCATCCTAAATCTGCCTTCCCTATAGTCTTGCCCATTTCAGGAAATAGTAACTATTCCACCAGCTGTTTAGATAAAAAAACATAGAATCAAAGCTGACTCCATACTGTTGGCTTTACCTTCAAAACAGATCCAAAATCCTACCACTTATCTCCATGACTGCTGCACCACCTCAATCCAAATCACCATCCCTATCACCTAGTGGCTATTCTACTAGCAGTATTGTTAGTCTCCTTGTAACTTTGGTCTAGTCTAAATACAGAAGCCATAGTGATCCTTCCAAAACATAACTGAAATCATGCTACTCCTCTGTACAAAGCCCCCCAATGGTTCCCCAACCAGCCCAAAGTTCTCATGACCTAAAAGGACCTACATGATCTGCATGTCCCCCTCCCAATACTTCTCTGACTTCATGTCCACTAATCTACCCCTCACTTACTACCTTGCAGCCACAAGGACCTCTCTCATTCAAGGATCTCTGAACATTCAAGGCATGATCCTACCATGCATCCTTTGTACTTGCTATTCCCTCTGCTTGAAAAATCCTTCCCCAGATATGTAAGGAACTCACATTCTTATTCCTTTTAGGTCTTTGCTTTGATGTCACCTTACCAGAGGCTTCCTTTACCATCTATAAAGAACCCCTCCCTTTCCAACTCTCTATCCCTTTATCTGTTTTCTCCTACTAAAACATAAAGTCTAAGAGAACAGAGACTTTTCCTGTCCTGTTTACTTATGTATACCCAGCTCCTTGTTCCTTACGTATACACAGGCTACAACAGATATTCAGCCAATGATGCTGAATGAATCAAAAAAGTTAAAGAAGACCATTCTTGGGGGGGGGTTTGAACTCAGGGCCTCACACTTGCTAGGCAGGTGCTCTACCACTTGAGCCACTCCACCAGCCCTTTTATGTAGTGGGTATTATCAAGATAGGATTTCATGAACTATTTACCTAGGCCGGCTTTGAACCGTGATCCTCCTGATCTCTGCCTCCCAAGTAGCTAGAATTATAGGCATCAGCCACTGGCACCCAGCAAGATCATTCTTTATAAAGAAGAATCAGTCAGGCACAGTGGGTCCCTATAGTCCTAGCACTAGAGAGGCTGAGACTGAAGGATCACTTGAGCCGAGGAGCTCGAGACCAGGCTGGGCAATATAGTAAGACCCTGTCAAAAAAAAAAAAAAAGCCAAGGCTTGGCAGGTGACTTACACCTGTAATCCCAGCTACTCCAAAGGCAGAGATTGGAAGGACTGTGGTTCAATCAGGGCAAAAAGTTAATGAGACTTCATCTCAACCAATAAGCTGGGTGTGGTGGTGTGCAGTTACACGGCAGGCATAAATAGATCATGGTCCAGTTTGGCACAGGCAAAAGTTTAAGACCCTGTCTCAAAAATAACTAAAGCAAGGGTCTGGTGGAGTGGCTCAAATGGTAGAGTGCCTGCCTAGCAAGCATGAGACCTTGAGTTCAAACCTCAGAACCACCACCAAAAAAATCAAAACAAAAAACAAATCAGCAGGCATGACAAACAGGAGAATTAGAACCCCAAGGATTTCAGAAAATCAAATAAAAATCTAGTAGACTATGCATAACAATTAACCACAAAAACAGTAATGCAATAATAATCATTTTACTTAGCTCTGATGCCTATGGGTAGGCTGATTTAGGCTAGATTTATCAGGGCATCTGTGCTCACCTTGTCTGAGTCCTCTCATATAACTAGGATTCAGTTGATTTAGGCTGAATCTGAGGTGATTGAATTATATACATCTCATATCTTCCTTAAAGGACCAGTGGACTGGGCCAGACAACTTCTCATGACAATGGCAGAAGTGCAGAAGACCAACTGGAAATACATGATCCCTTTAAGGCTTAGGCTTAGAACTGGCACACTCTGATGTCTACCATATTCTGTAGGCCAAGGCAAATCACATGGCCAAAAGCAAACTCAAGGGAAGGGGAAATATCTTCTTGTCCATTGGTAAAAACTGCAAGGGCATACATCAAAGAGTGTGTCTCTAGGTAGGAGGCAGAGAGTTGAGCTAATGCTAGCTGTGTAATATCTTTCTTTTTACTTTGGGTTGTCTTAAGAATTGATTTATGGGTATACTTTGTATATTCTACATACTAGTCCTTTATCAGTTATATGCTTTACAAATAAATATCTTCTTCTAGTTATGTATATTGCCTTTTTAACTTTAAGGTGGTTTACATTAAAAAGAAACTTCTAGCCAAACATGGTGGCCCACACCTGTAGTTGGAGCACTTGGGAGGCAAAGGCAGGAGGAACTCAACTTTGAGGCCAGCCTGGAGTACAAAGTTAAGTTAAATTTCAGCCTGAGCTACACAGGAAGATCTGTTTCAAAAAATCAAAGGCTGGAGATGTTACTCAGTAACACTTGCCTCACATGCACATGGCCCCGGGCCTGGGTTTGATCACTAGCATTGCAAAAAAAGTCTAGTTTTTGGTGGTGGTGTTTATTTGTTTGTGTGTTGAAATAGGGACTATCTATGCTTGCCTGGGCCTTCTGAGATTACAAGCATGCACCACCAAACCTGGCAAAACTTTTAGGATTTTTTTTTTTCTGGTAGTGGGGCTTGAACTCAGGGCCTACACCTTGAGTCACTCCACCAGCCCATTTTTTGTGATGGGTGTTTTTGAGATAAGGGCTCACAAACTATTTGTGCAGGCTGGCTTCAAACTGCAATCCTCCTGATCGCTGCCTCCTGAGTTGCTAGAATTACAGGTGTGAGCCACTGGTGCCTGGCATAAAACTTTTAGTTTTAATATAGTCAAATTTCCCAATTTGCTAATGGTATGTTTTTTGTATCTTATATAAGAAATCTCAGTGACAAAAAGATATTTCTTAAAGTTCTGTTTTTTGTTTTTTACTTTTAGGGTTTTAATCTACTTTAATTTATTCTGCATATAACACTCTAATTTGGTATATGCATAAACAATTTTTCTGACACCATTTATTGAACAGATATCCTC